CACACAAGTCATGGCCCATGATCTTTGGTTCTTCTCATGACCTAAACGACCACCACCCCACCCCCCCTGCAGCACACGTCCCATGGGTCCCCCATGGGTCCCCCCTCGCCTTCTCTTCAAATGTAATCGCCTGGTTTGCGCACGCTTGGAGAACGAAAACAAACAAACAAACACACATACATTGATGAAGCAAGCTTGGGCTGTAGCAAGCTACCGCGCGGTAAATTGAGAGTTAGTGGCAGTGCTTTGCTGGATGGGAGGCCGAGATGCCGCTGATGCTGTACCACTTTTGGGAACATCTATGTTTAGTTTCAATTCTCAGCTGCTTAGCCCAATGGTATCGATCTGTAGACTCTTGAGGACCATAAACTCACCCTTTGAATTGAACAGCCTCTTCAAAGGGGGGGTTTGTGGTCCTCAAGAGTCTACAATTATCGTTGGGCCTTCGACGATCGATCGCGACGACTCGTCACTCCAACAGTGCACGCAGAGCGACCCGCACCGCCGACGACGAACGACCCGCACCGCCGAAGGTTACGACGGGTCGCCGGTTTCCGTCGCGAGCGGTGCGGCGACGCGTCGCGCGCCGTCAAGTTCTCCATCTCCGCGGACTGTGTCACCGCTGGGGCAAAACCTGGAGATCTGGCCGCTGCCAGACCGTGCGCAAAAATTGGTTGCTTCGAATCGCGAGTCTGTGGCATGATGTGATACGTTTGATGCATGTCGATGCTGTTATGTGCTGTTGGTTAGATGCCGTTGGTACTGCTGTTAGTTGATGCTTCTTCAAAAGGCCCTCTCTTGTGATCCCAAACCTGGTAGAACAACCAAAGCCACCCCACTAGCCACCCCGACCGAAAGAGAACAAACAAGCTTCGCACCGACCTTCAGCCCGGTGACGCAAACGGTTGACCCCGTGAAACAGCACGGGTGGTGTGGGCTTGGCGTTGGCAACGGAGGGAATCGGCTCACGGACCGCTTCTTAGTCACTTACCCAAACACGACTAATGGGACTGGAATATATGCCTACATTGACCCCCAAAACCACCCCAATGTAGGCATGTACGCCATACATGGAGTGTCTGGGATAGTAGTAATATGTAGTAATGCCTTTGTTGCCACTACGTAGCTTCTTAGTTACGAGATGTTACGAGCAAGCAACTGTTGCTCGTTTCCCAAACCATCGTGTCATGGTGCGAACATCGTGTCTGACAGCGGTGGGAAGTTTCTTTCGATGAAGGCGGAGAAGGGCGAAGTCTGAGTCTGTGTGTTCTTTTCAATTTTGGCAACACATCGAGACAAAACCTTCGTCGAAAAGGACATGGAACAAACAGCCGTGCTCGGCTTCTGCAAGCACCAGACACAGGAAATCAATGCAAATATTTTGTCCATCTCATACAGGCCCGGTCTGTCTCATGCAAGAACAAAGACTGTAGCTGGGAAGTCCTTCGAGCCACTCCAAAAAGCTCAACTGCTTCACCGCCAAGCTGCTCCCAATCTCCACCGGCCCGCCCCGTGCGCGCAGTACTGCGAGTGCCAGCCACAGGAGTCCAGGGACCGCCATGGTAACTCGCCCATCGGATGTTCCAACGCCAGAGAGGTGGGGGGAGCTGTGGGGTGCACTGGGTTTTCGGCCCAGGTGGCATGAGGATCTAAGCGGTTTTGGGATGTCATGGCGGGAGCTGTGGATCCATCTGGCGATTCATGTGATGCACTCGGGCAGGGAAGACAATGGAATGGCAAGTTGATTCTTTTCTAAGGACAGCTGAGATGAACCCAGGTGATGCTTGTTTTGGTAGGTCATTCAGGGATGGTCTCACCAAATGAACGTCTTTTCCAGGAAGCCTTTTTTACGTTCAGCGCTTTCCTGTGTCTACTATGCCTAGGTGGACGAATCGGTCATTGGATTTTCAAACTCAAATGAGAAAGTCTAAGAGCTGGCTTGGGGGGCATCGCATGTTCAATAACCTAGGCAAGTGCAAACTGGACATGAGCGTGTTTCTATATACTTCAATATGTCATTGAACATCCGTTTCAACTGGGGTTGACGCACATGCTCTGCTGGAACCGCAAATTGGATTCATTTGTTGAGAGCTCTCGGTGAAGAACTCAGCTGTTCTGGTTCTGGCATCGTGCTTTACAATTCTTTACAAACACTCTGATCCTTTTGCAACTTTTGCAGCTAAGCAGGGATCTGACCACGGTATTGTTTCTTGACCCAAAATTGAAGAACATCACATCCATGGTGGAACTGCGTAATCCGAACGATGTGCTCATGCGACTGTCCGCTTTTGATCCGAACGTGCAGCTGCAGGCGAGGTCAGGTTGGTCATGTCAGGGTTCTGTCGTGTCAAGGTGTCAGGGCCGGCCTCCAGAGGTCAGGGCGTCGTTCCGACGACCGAGTCCTTTTGACGACCGATGGTCCAAGTCCGAATCGGAGAATCGGTGATGACAGCGGTGGCCGTTGGCCATCTCAGTGGACTGGCCCGACCCAGCTCTTTGAAAGAGCTCAAGGATCCTAGAGGCATCTTTCACGATCATCCAGCTCAGAAATATCCTCGATCGTTCGGCTCTAGACATGCAGTCCATTTTCATAGGCATGACATGCAGTAATTAGTTGACCACCTGTACAATCTGGAGGCACCAATACACGAAATCAGAGAAAGGGTAAAATAAGCAATGCATAATGCATAAAGGATATATGCACAAAACATGATTAGTAGGGGCTCCTGATGTCTCTCTATGATTCAGCTGACACCATCATCCATCATCTAAGCAAACACCTCGTTGTTGACAAGGAACGTGCTGTTTGGTGTCAGTGGTAAGTGAATTGGTTCTTGCCAAACCCAGCTGGTTGGGGCAAACACGAACAATCCAACACGTTCCCCTTGGAATTCTCCAGACGTGAAGCCGTGAACATATCATTGCCCACAGTCATGTATAAATATCGATCAAACATGATCAATCTACAGTCGTGATGAGCGTATGAATATATATATATATATACTCCATTATACTCCCATATTAATTACATTGAACGTACTTTGAAACCAGAGCCAAATGATTCGGCATGAGACATTCGTCACATGGTTTCCATCATTGCTGAACATGGGGAATCACCAAGGAACTCTTGACACAACATGCTTGACACACAAAACAAACGACTTGACATGATTCAAAACGAACGGTCGAGTCTTTCATGCGCATCTCGGGACTTGAAATCATTCAAACATATTGTAGTAGTGCCCCATATATGATATGTGTGTTTTCATAATATGGGTGCAACGTGACCATGTTCTCAGGGTATCGCCATCGGCAGCCATCCTTGGCCATTGAGTATTGCACAAAAGCATCCCCACAGCCTGCCTGGGAAGAGAGGAACCTTAGTTCTCACAGGTGGTGCCATTCTCACTGGTGGGCTTCCAGTAAATGTTTCTGCGCAGATTGCTGGCTCATCAATGGGATGAATCATATATATATATACTATATTATACACACATTGGAAAGATAAGTGACCATTCTATAGACATAGGTAGCCTGACATCCTATATATTAAGGCAACGATTCCATAGAGATTCATAGATGCAGGTTCATGAGGTCGGTCTGATCATGGAAAGCCTCACTTCTTGGAAAAGACACATCGCTGAACACACGACCTGTTGGGTCTGAACACACGACCTGTTGGGTCTGAACACACGACCTGTTGGGTCTGAACCTGCAGGTTCATAGCAAACATTGTTACTACTAGTAAGGCACTTGTTACTAGTAGCGATGCACTTGTTTCTAGTAGCTTCTTGTTCCTGAAATTATAACTTTGGCTTGACAAATTCACACAAATCAGCGTTCGGTGTGCCAATCGGTCTCGGACCATCTCTGAAAACCACCTCACATGATGGGATGCTCTGATTCCCTCTTCTTCAGGTCGTTGGAATCTTTGGCCCTGGGAAAAAAAACAAATCTGGTTGACCCTCCCATCGTGGGCCGCCGGTGCTCCGAGCAGCAACTTGCCATACGCCGTGGCCGCTCCTGACAGCGGTGCCGTTGGGGAAACAGGTGCTGTTTGCCCAATTCCATAGAATATGGCAGCCCTCTGGCTCCAATCTCCAATTAGCTCCTCCATCCTGAACTGGAAACCTGCATACTCAGAAATTCTTTAGGTGTTTGCTTAGATTCAGCCGGATTTCTGTCGACTCCAGAAAATTCTGGCAAAAGCGCACCCCAAACGCTCCTGTGGCGCGCACGCAGAGTGTGGCTTCTCTGCCTGGCATAGAAGAGCCGTAAACTGGGATCCACTGGGTGTGAGTTGAGATGATTTGAACGCATCCTGAGAACAACATGCTCAATAAGCAAACGGGTAGAGATATTGACACGCCGGGCATGGGTCTTGCCGCTTTCTTCTGGTATAGGGAGCACAATGGTTCTCCAGCACGTACGCTATTCGGATGAAACAACATTGCACATATATCCACAAAATAATCTTTGTGTTGAATGAAACGTCACGTACCAGTGCTCCGGCAAAACGTGACATGCCAAATCTCAAGCATTGGTTGTCGAAAGAGGTCTTGGGTCTTCAAACTTCCTTTTCTAACAATGGAAGACCAATGGTAGCCGTGTGTGTGGATCGGAGCCTTAAACATTAAAACATTGCCTGTCTAGACGTCAAACAAACAGCCACCCTTCTGGACCTGATGGTAAGTTTCATTCCACTTCCTGGCTGTGAAATGCTGTGAATTTAGTTAGCCTCCGATCCAAATACAGTAGATCCAAATGATGTCTATCCCATTTTCTGCAGCACCTTTTCAACCACCCAGGATTCGTGTCCAAAGGCAGCTACATGCAGCTACTCAAGAACAAAAAATGGGGTCAGCACAATTGACTTTTGCTGCACAAGAGAGTCTCCAAGTCCAAGGACCCTCAAACATGTCCAGTCACGTAGCCCTGTTGAGGCTACGAGGCTCGCCTGAAACTGGGATTTTGAACCTCCAAGTAGTTCCTTCCCCAAACTCACACCCTTGCCAAGCGCTCTCTTTTTGTTGGATGCCGTCAGAATGGGCGGGCGTCGAGTCGTCGAGCAAACCTGGGGGCGGCACGGTGAAGCACGTCGGGCGAAGCTCTCGGCCAAAGGAAGGTGTGCATTTGGGTCGAACTGGTTGGCTGGGTCGAACCTCTGGAGTCTCTGGCAACATCTTTCTCCGAGTCTTTGAGTCCCAAAGTTCCACCAGTTCGAGCTGAAGAAACATGCACTTAACAAAGTTCCACCGTGTCTAGTCCTCTGATCTTTGAGTCTGAGCGAGTCTGTCCCAACGTGTCAGAAAAGCGAACTCAGAACGATCACTGAATCATCCTGGAGTGCAACATGGAAACCAAACATACTGCATGCTACCATGCATCACCGTGCACCGCCCCAATCTTGGAGCACCTTGATTGGTGTCTTGAAAATTTGTATATACGATATGTTTCGAGGTGTACAAAGCTGTTCTCCTTCCCAACTTTAAAATCGACAAGAGCCGGACTAGAGAGCAAACCAACAGTCTGGGCTAACATGCCCATTCATCCTGATTCTGATGTTAATGAAGAACAAATGCATCCCACCCTCCTCAAGACACCACAAACATGAGCTAGGATGTATCTGTTAAACTGGAAAGTTGCTCTGGCTCAACAAACAAAAACCTGTCCAAAATGTCCGTACCTATACCATGTTTGAGCGATATAGACTGGAAGTTCACTGTGTGAAAATAGTATTACCTAGGAACAAATACACCCACACATCTTTTTCAGCTGTTTACATGCCCTCCGGGCCTCAGCGTTGGAACTTCTTCACCATCTCCTGGTGTGTGTTTTCTGATTAAACATGCTGTTCAACTGCCAGGAAGAGTGAAGACAAAACTTTTTTCAAACACGTGAAACATCGTGAAACACATTTAAGCTGTTTCCCTGCTGTCAACAAAGCTTAAAGACAGTTGAACAAACGTTTTAAGCAGAAGACATGATTGTGGTCATTTTTGTTCCAAGATACAAGCCTCACCTCCTAATGTGGAGATTCTGGTAAGTATATCATCAAACATAGGTTGGCTTGCCCCCCTCTTGGCCCACCCAGAATTCGTCCGATCCCTTGTTCTCAAAGTTTTGCATCTGCGTGTGGCGTCAATTGGATAACTTGTTTACCTTTTCTCTTGGCCCCAAACACAAACTAATCATTATGTTGGATTTGAGCTAAGAGTCCGGGCTGGCAACTGCATCTATATGCCCCAGCGTGGGTGTAGCTTACACAACCACAAGGGTCTTACACAACACTTGCGGGGTGGTAGTCTATTTCCTTCAGACCTACGTCATCAGACCGGGGCTGGGAAAACCCCATGCAACGCGAAGCAATTCAATCTTTCAGCACCCAATCAGTTCAGGTGGTTCTGGCTGTGAAGGCTCCCTGACCCGTTCGTTTTTTTTCCAAACACCTTCCCCAACTGGGTGCTGGTGAAACATCCGCTTTCAACGATCCAAAGGCTCCCTTCGCCGGTCTCCTGACTTGCAGGTGTGGAGAACATCTCCAGCCTCCAGTGAAACACGCTGAAAGGGGTTCAGTGCAGAGGTGTGATCCATTTTTGGCTTAGCTCCTTTGGACGGTGATGTTTTTTTTCCTCCAGTGATGGGATATGATGGGATGTTTCCTTGGAGCATGTAGATTTGTCCGTTTGGGGGTCGAGCCTACAACAACAATCCCCTCATCATCTGAAGGGTTACAGCGGCCTCCGTTCCACAATGGATGGAATGCGACAAGAGTTGTGCCAGTGATCGCTCCGTACAGAACAAATCCAAAAGCCTGGTGGCGTGCGAGATTTTGGCACTAGCAAGCCAAAGACCAACGAGACGCCCCGCGGACCGCGGCGAGACACCGCGGCGATGGTCCGCGAAAGAATGCTTCACGGATAGCAACCGTTCCTCCACACAGGTGATACTGTATGACAGAGTTGAAAGTACATGTTCCGAAAGGGAACGATCTTCCCTGCCCACGTGATTCTCCCAAGAATCATTCTGGAGGCTTAAAACTCTCGTTGTTCGGTCGAGCCAGTCAAACGGTGTGTTGCCCGGGCAGCCAGGCATGGCAGGCTCTGCGCAAGCGTACTTCTCGGCCAGTGTGGGCTTCAACATCTGCTGGTAGAGGACCTGTTTGCCTGAGGACTCAGGAAAGAAGTCTTCAGCCCCAAACCGCAATGCAAAGTACAGGAAAACCACGAAGCTCGACACAATTTTTTGGAGATTCTGTGTCACGGTGTTTAAGGAAAAGGCAAACCAGAGTGTCACCAAACTAAAAACAACATGCAGCATGCATGTTTTGGCAAGATCATCTCTACATAGCAAAAGAGTTAGTAGTTAGTAGTCATCTACCAAGTGACCTAATTATGGATCATAGCAACAGGACTTCCAGCAGTGCCTCGTTGGATCTGCGCTGGGTCTGCTTTCGCGATCTTCTCCGCCACCTTGCGCGCCTCACCATGTTGGTCCAGAAATTTGGAGTGCCAGACCTGATGAAGCGAACATCTTTCCTCAACACATCCAAACATGTTTCCCGAAATCATCCATGTGACCTTTGGCTTGGCTGCCGGCTCACCCGACTACTCGGGTGAGCCGACCTAAGATCTGGAGGAAACATCGGGTATTCGGCTTGAGAAGACTCTCTACATGGCTGGGGCTGAAGGATTGAAAAGCAGGTGAGAACCCTCACAGGCAAATGGTAGAATCGTCTTATCATGTCAAACATGTATGTATGGATGACATCGAGTGATTAGTTGATTAGTTGAAAAGTTGATGTCAATAATTGTCCTGATTCAAAGCAAACAAAGGGGGGACGATTGGTTCAGCTTTGCCAGCTAGAACGCTACTGAGTAGACATCCTACGGTCCTACTTGGCATGCCTAGCACACCGGCCATCCCTCGTCAACCTCACTGTAGAGCTTGGCTCGGGGAATCACACGGTTCACCAAGCCTGGCGTAGCGTCTGGGCATTGATACACAACTCCAAACGGCTCGCATATATTTGGTATAGTCTACACTGAGTTGCATTGAAGATTGTCCTTTCAAGTTTTCATAGGATGTGACTGGGTGTCCCACTTCCCCTGAGGTCTCCCCCCTTTTGTGAAGGAACACAAGAAATGAGCGCACAAGCCTTGCTCGACAAAGAAACAGGAAGAACTATAACTATACTATCCAACGATTCTCTGGCTCCACTGTGCAGAAAGTAATTCAGGTGGAAGCTCCTGTCGAAGGTGACAATATCTACTATTCCCCGTCCGATGAACCCTTTTGTTTGAACACGTTCTGCAGTCTCGGCCAGATTGTATAGCTAAACAGTGTGTCGGTTTGAGTGTGCACACTGACACATTTCAAGCTCTCTAACTTGTGTGCTGCCGAAAAGGCAATTTCGATTTAAATGCCAAGTTTCCTAGATCCCAACTCCCACTCAATACGTGGTGTCACTGCCGCAAAGCCAGAACGCTCAAACAAGGAGGAGGTCCACGTTTCTGTTCATGTACCAATTTCTGCACTTCCTGGAGCCCCCCCCCAATAGTCTTTTGCAGTACATCGTCCCACAACCGTTGTTGACCAAGTTCATTGCCAATCAAACCAAGTTGGTGGTAGCAAGGATGCCTCAGCAAGACCAAAGCCTTCTTCCTTGGACAGGGAAATGACGACAAACCTTTATGTTTTCAATGTTTTCCGAAGCCCGCGCCACAAAATGGTTCCCTCATGCGGATGGGCGCGTACTTCTCCCGTATGAACCACCGGCCATCGCGCCCTGGAGTCACGCCACGCGTTCGACACCTAAACGCTCCGCGCGCTCTGCAGGGATCTGACGGCGCGAGGGAACCGCAAACAGGCGGGGGTGACTGGCAGACCAGAACGAGTGGGTGAGAGGGTCTCAACATCATGCCAGGACCGAAAGCAAAACAAGTTTTACTGCTCCTTGTACCCGTTTTGTTCCGAGGTACTGACAGAGACTCCAGGAAGATATGCTACCAGAGTTCAGGCAACTCATTGTCCCATGTGCTTTGATGTGGCCGATCCTCAAAAGGCCAGGACCATGCTTCAAGGCCCACGCCTGGTGATGACCAACCAGTGGACCGTCGCCATTTGAGCAGATAGAGATCGACCTCCTACGGACCAATGGATGTATAGGTGGGCCGCCGAGTCGGAAGAAACCTCTCAAAGCGTCTCACAACCAGGTGAGCCAATGTGGTCTTCCGGATCAATCGAACTGCAAAACCCGTGAGATCTCTTGAGACACCTTCCCTATACTCCTATCTTCCCCACTCACCTACCCCTATCTACCTGTGGCAGTGAGAAGAGCTGCTCCTCGCATCTCCTCGCAGAAGCTGCTCCAGACTTCATGCACCCCCCCCCAAGTTCGCGTTCCAGACGAAGTGGGCGCACCTCACTCTCCGCCGGCCCGTCGTCTCGCGCCTTCTCGGCCAGGAAGGCCATCTCCGCCACCGCTGACGCCGAGGTGCGCTGGGCGACGGCCACCGCCGGGGTGTGACCTCGGTGCGCTCTGCACCGCGGGCGAGACCCATTGGCCGGACCGCCGGTCGCCGGTGGCACCGGAGGATTTCCCTCCCCCTCAAGGTTTGCTACTTGGGGTGACCGTCAGAGAAGTGCTATTTGATTTTAGAGTGGGGAGGGGGGGTCAGTCAGGCGAGGTCACCCAAGACTAAATATCTGCATAAGATTAATTGATCGACTAGGCTATTCATAAACTATGGTGAAACATGTTCCAAGGCCGGAGGAGACCAAATTCATTGGGGGTTATGTATAGAGGGATTCTATAATATATGGGGAAGCTTCTTTGGACACTCGAACAAGTTTTCTGTTTTGTTTTTTTCCGCTTCCGAAGGGGCAGGAGGGTGTTATAAACAAGTTTATACAGTAACATATTTTCAGGGAGTGGTGTTGGGATTCTGGTGATTTGGGGGGGATCTGTGGCCAGCTCGAGAGAGCAAATTCTTAGATGGGTCCAGAAAGCATTGAGATGCAGGACGAGCTGGTGGAGAAGGAACGTTGGAACCATTGGAAGACACGCAGGATTCCACCAGGATGAGCATCAGACTACATCTGGTCCAAGGGCGCCTCATCACTCCTCCATCAGGGATGGGCTAAGATCAGGTGATAAGTCAGGATCAGCATCTGCCAAGAGGCAAACAAGGTCAACAAGGACCAACAGAGGAAACAAGGTCAACAAGGTCTGAGGTATCATAGGATGAGGGATTGGTCCGACCATACTAATTGCAGTTAGTATTGAAACAAAAATTGTCCCAAAAACGGTGGACCAAACTGTGGGGGAGGGGGGGTCCTGCAACATGTTCAATTTTTCAGCCAAAAGGTTTTTTGAAAGGCGTTGTACTCACCAAACTAATGAGGCCGGGGTATGTCCTATGTTTACCTTATACATGTTTCTTTTTGGAGCTTGGGTCTTTCGACTTGCTCCGCAAAGAAAGACTTGGAAGTCGAGAGTTGGCTCCGGCAGTTCGGTAGTTCGGTAGTAGTGCTTTCTTCATTCGGCTGTTCCGAAGGCACTCTACGGGGGGTCTTTTCACATCTTTAGCATTGTTTAGCCACCAAATAGAGGATTCGTGGTATGGTTTCCCTGCAAGCCTGAGCCCTGGCTTGTCCACAATTTCACTGTTAAAGCACCCCAGGAAAGCCGATCAAGATGCCAAAACCCAAACTCCTTAGACTATAAACCTTTTGTTCACCAACAAGTGCCATGTGGACACGTCAACGTCCGTCACGCTGACACGAATGAACAACAGAGAAACTTATATGGTTTTGGTCCACTGGCTGTGCTCGGTTGCGAATCAAGAATCACTACCCCACCAATCTGGTCGCAAAGAGGAAGGAACTTGTGAAAGCAAAACGAGGTTCGAATGCTTGGACTGTGAGGAATGCGTAAGGAGCATTCAGGATGACTCCAAACTCTTCTGTAGAGTAAAAGGAAATTCAGGAATCAGGCGGGTGACCCAGGTACCACTTTTGAGAAACTAAAATCCGGTGACAGCCCAAGTGGTTGCCTCAGCTTTCACAATATATATATATATATATCTGCTGATACTGTTTGGACCTCAACAGCGCTTTTCTTCGACACTCTGGTAACTTTTAATGGCATTTAAGTCTGACCCCTCAGTCTGGAGTCATTGGTGTACCAGTGTACCCTTGTTTGCAACACGCCCCTAAGACCGACATCGACTCTCCAAAACGGTTCAAGCGTTCTCCCCCCCCGAAAAAAAATGAAAATATCAAAAAATTCTCTAAACCACCCTTACACAACAAAATTTATACAACATGCGATCCAACGGATTTTCGGGGCCTTCAGTCAATTCATGGAACTTCCTGATAAAGACGGAGCTGCAGAAGCCACCATTGGCCGCTCCTGGCAGCTGGAAGGCAGCGGTGTCCGCTGCGAGAACCAAATCGCCTGGACTGGAGGTGGAGAGGAGGCCGTCGTTTTGGCTTTGGAGACGGTTTGGGCTCCCAAGGTCAGACTTTTGCAGGTTCATGAGGTCTTGAGGTTTGGTTCAGGTCTGGGGTTTCTGAAAAAGATGCTCTTCTCCAAATTTGGTCAAAGACGGGGACTGCATTCACTACTTTGATCACCTCGGCTGTCGTTTCCCGTCAATTGCTATAGACTTAGTCCCCAAGACACCCAAGAAATGCAACAGTTCAACGCATGCGTACCAGCTGATACAGAAGATTCACTGTTCCATCTGTTGGCAGCTCAGATCCGTTTCTCTGGATGTACGTTTCTATATGTTGTTGGGGGTGACCAATACTGGCAAGAAGGAACGTACGGCAGTTTTCGATTCAAGGCGCAGGAGCATGCGAGTTGACACCCGGCAGCGGTGGCCAGTCCCTGCACCTGGGAAGCCCAGCGAGAAGCGTTGAAAGGTAGATGACCATGCCTGGGGAAATCCCCTTCAATCGAATGTCTGAGTCTTTACTACTGATACTATCATCCTCCGTGAAATTCCCATGGCCGGTCTGGGCTCCACACTTTATAGCGATAAAATTAATAGTTTCCCCCACCTTTTTTTGAACGGTAGAATGGATTACCCCATCTAAAAGGATGAACACCAGCTCACTATAGAATGGGGAGTCCAAACCGACCAAAACCAAGCAAAATGACACCTTTGTACGCATATAACCAAAAATAGAGCCAACGATAATTTGGTTTACCCCACCCTGCTTTCAAACGCTCATTGGGTCAAAATGAAAGCTCAAGTGCACACATTCAAAAAACAATTCTGCAAGGGGTCAGGATTGCAAGCAAATGGAAGCTTCATAAAACAGCTGACGACGACGGACAACAACATTTCTGACTCTTACTGTGCTCGGTCTCTGTTTATGTTCCGCTCTATTGACAGTGTATATGCTTCGCATATACCATTGGACAACATCCACCATTCATAAAAACTACCACTAGGGCTCTCCTCCTTTCTTTCTATCTGTGAAGCTGCACAACAAAACCCAAACATAAAATGTCTTGAACAGTCCCTTCAATTCTGGCAACTCCACCTTCTGGCAATGTCTCGGCGAAACATGAGAACTCATCACCTACAACATCCAACAACAGCATCCTTCAATTAATATAACTTAACCATGTATAACCAGCATCTCAGAACAACAGAAATGCCTCAGTTATTTCTTATGTCTGCGCTTTTCATTGAGCCAAATGGCATCTTTTTGTTTGGCTTCAAGAATGCTCGGCTTATAGAATGGCTGGAGTCCAGGTCCTAAAACAGCTCATGATCTGAGATTGTATGAAGATTGGTTCTCCATAGAATGGACAGAAGTCCACTCCAAAAAAAACTGTCCAGAAATTGACTGCCCCTCCACTTTTGGAGTCTCTTTAACAAAGCCATGTTGTTCATAGAGCCGTTTTATGCAGGAGCCTGGGCGGACAGATTTTATATGTTATTTTTTCAACGGTGATATACATGATATACTATCTGTTTTTGGGCTTCAGCTGAGAAAAAGCATGTGTCTGTCACTTGTGAACTGCTTCAGACATCCTGAAGGTCCTATACCTATATGTCCCTATATGGTCTTTGCTGAATGAAGCAACTGATGAACAGGTCTGCAAAAAAAACAGGGCAATCTGTTTTGCCTCCCACAGGTTAAGAAAGTCTACGCAGCGTGCGTGCGGGCCTCCGCAGCCGCCTTCAGGTTGCAGAACTGAGTTTCCGGGCTACGGCAATGCTGGGTGGTGCAACCTCCCTCAGCAGCATGTTCACCTCGCTGGAGGTCCACTTCTCACTGGGTCTGACTGGGATTCATGGGGGGCCAGCGATGCGGAGGTCATAAGGAGGTAGGCGGACCATCATCCCAGATTATCCCAACTTAAACAACCAATGCTGATTGTGATTGGCCACATCAAGTCATGAGTCAATCAGTTTTGCGGGACAACTTGGCTAAGCCCGGCGGTCGGTGGTCGCTTCATGTTCAAGGCACATCTGTGAATCAGAAAGCGTTTCATGGCCAATTCCGCATGGAAAAAAAGCAACCTTCTACATGACTCTGTTAATACAATGCGGCCAATATACTAATTCTGACTACATGGCCAAAACGATTGTGATCGACCTGCCACTATCACCAAACCAAACAATCGTTTGGTTCGAATCAAACCAAACACGTTATCACACTATTTTACCTATGTAAACATCCCTAAACAAACTCTGTGTTCTTTTCAATGTGTGCTTGTTTTGGTCTTTTCCGAAAGCGCGATGTCAACCACGATTATAGTTCTCCTTTTGAAGAAAGACAAGAAACACACAACATGCATCACCATTCGCTACTCATTCGGCTCATTTCTGGGGAGAACAACACACACACACACCTGATGCACACGTCACCACCCGAATGGAAAGACCCCTGTCTTTGGTTGGTTTCGGCGGGCCTCGGAACAGAGCTGCAGCGTGCGGCGGTGCTCCGCGGCGCCCAGCTCCGCGGCGAAGTCGCCGAAGCGGTGCCCGGAGCTGAAGACGGAGCCCTGGGACGGCGCAGAGCGGGTCGGCTCAGAGGCGACCCGGGGGGGGGGCGTTCTGTGTCGGGAGATCGGGTTTTTGGATATGGAATGGGGCTGAGGAGGGTATATATAGTATTGGGATTTATTTATATGATTCATATGATGTCGTTGTTGTTGATTCTATCATTTAGAACCGTTTCTTTTTTTCTGTGCTGAATGGTGTTGATGGTTTTGTCTCGGTTTGATGAAGCTTTTTCTTTGGTGCGGGCTGTTCCATTCCCCGCTGTGGGTCACGGTCGTGAGAGATGTGAGAGTGGGCCCTTTTCGTGACCATTTGAAAGGGGCTGCTCAATAGGATTCTATAGCCTAGCTTCCAAAGGAACTGGGTGAGTGCTTGTAAGCCCTAGGCCCCCCTAGACTCCAGCTGCCGACAATGGTGACGTCCTTGGGGTGGGTATCAACCAAGGTCTTGCAAGGTCTTTGTTGGAATCTTCGCCACCTTGCCAAAACGCTCTCCGCGCTTCAGTTCTCAGCAGACCTGCCTGGGACTCCAAGAGGAGCACTCTGGTGCTGCTGGGCAAGGTCTGCAAGAGTTCTTTGAGTGCGGAAAGAACCTCCGCTCCCGTGAACTCCACGCTCGGACGGGTCGAAGCGTGCGTTTCTTCTTCGACTGCCTCACTCCCGTCGCACAACTCGTCCGGTAACGGGCCCAGTGGGAAGACGGGATCGCAAGTTTGGGCCCCACAATGGATGTGGCATGAAGCTAGGAAGCACGTACATCATGATCATTATACTCGAAGGGATCCAAGAACAATGTGCACAGTTTCATTTCAGGTGCAGTTTTGATGAGTTTTCCTGTCCCAAGAGGGTGGGGGAAACTCGTTCAACGCTGTTGTTCTCTTGAGTCTTCCGACTCGTGAAGCCAAGCCCGAATCGGCCCCAGGCACCGGGCGGCTCAGGGCGTTACGCGTCTTGGGCGCTGCAAGCGTCACCGTGAAGACCTGCGGTTTTGGATGGGACGGTGGATGAACGTTGGATGGAGAGGAGAGGAGAGGAGTACAGGCACGCCCTGGGTGGGCGTTGAAAGTCAAGGGTGTTCTGACAGGAAAACCCCCAAAGAAGACGCCAAAGCGTCAATAGTGAAGAGTTTGAGGTTGGGGCAGTATTTTGGACCTTAGAGAAGTGGACAAGCAACGACTTGCAGCCAGAATGGTAGCGCGCAAGTCACTTGCCTTTACAATTTGCATCTGGATGCCCAGCAATCTCTCACTCTTCGTATCTCTTGATTGGGGAGGTGTTCCTCAGCTGACATTTGCTGTTTCGATGACTTGCTTGAGATGAATTGCTCCCACTGTTGCTTCCATAACGCCACTCTCCACCCCCCTTGTCGCAACAAATAGTGGAGAGACTGGATGCTAGTTTGCCTAAAAAACCACTGTTCAACCCCCTAGCGACGTTGGAACACTCAGTGAGTGTGACAGAGTGTGTGACGTCGTCTCTGAGACACCCCAATCATCTGAAGAATCTGACCTGCAACATGCACGATTCTTGTGAACCCCCAAAGAGTCACATACCTTAGACCCCCCAACACCTTCTTGGATCCCCCATTGCAGGTGATCATAGACTTATCCAAGCCCTACTTGAGTCAGCATCCCAAAGAAAACCGCAACCAGGTGGTTCGATATAGGTCCCCCCCTCCTTTGGGAAAGCCCCCCAGTTGCATGAGACGATCCACCGATCCACTCATCTAGCCGCACCACACCTGCGAGGCACCGCACAGCCGCCAGCGCACAGCGCCCTCGGCGGCTTCACCCGATGCAGAGGCCTGGGCGTGTGATGGGTGCGCTCCAGCCGCGCCGAGGCGGAAAACCAACCGAAGTACATCGAGCGCATCGGAGCGCCTTTCAACAAGCGCACCAGCTGAGCGCCTTTCAATCCAGGTGTACATCTTAAGGCTATAGGGATCGGGTCTCGGAATCCAGGGATGGATGTTGTTGTTTTTAAGGCTCGGGCTCGGGTCCGTGGATCCCTTTTTGGGGGGTTCATGTGAGGATGGGTTCCCCGGTCAGCTACGCCCTGCACGAACCACCAGGTCACCACCCAGCACCTTGGTGTCTCCCAACACCACCAGCAAGGACCAAGGAGACTTGATATAGAGCCTGCGTATGTTTTTTCTTCTTTCTGGCTAAGGCTTCACCAGCAGGCCTTACAGACCACTATGGAGCACCGGCCCTTGTGCCTAGCAAAATACCATGAAACACCAGCCCAGTCATCACTGTTCGGCGCACCTGTGGTGGGATCCACTGAGGATCAAAGCCCAACTCCTTGACGCAGAGGATCCACAGATGGAAGGGTTCCTATTTCACCAATCACTATGAGGACCACCGAGACCAAGTCCGTGGTTGGATAATTGGATGGTTGGATGGTTGGATGGTTGGATGGTTGGTTGGTTGGTTGGTTGGTTGGTTGGTTGGTTGGTTGCACGACACCTTACACTAGAATACAAACCTGAAAATACTCACTTTAGATACTCTAGTCTAAACTCTCTGTTAAACGATATAAATGTAATTCTGGGTAGTGTTAACTGATCCCCTAAGGCCGAAGGCACCTCATGAATTCACGTGAGGGCCAACATCTGAGGTACAGGTTTTCCACAACATATTCTTCTCAAACACACCTGGTATAGTACACCAAGTAGACCCCATGTTCGGTTCTTCGTCTCGTTTCTCCTTGGTTAGAGCCGATCCAGCCGGGAAACAAATAGAATGGGATCCAGCAAAAAAGATGTCACCCCCTCAGCAGGCAACGCCTTTGTAAAAACTTTAACTAATTCATGATTGTAAACCGCTTGTGCAACCCTAAGAGCTTGCATCTTATAACGCAAACTCTCTCACCTTAAAGGCCTTTCCCACGTCAAAAACCACTCACGTTCATCTGTGTCATCATGTGTCATCTCACCTCCTGTTCCCAGTCTGCAAAGGTACAAACACAGTATCCCCCAATGCACCACAACCATGTCCCATATGTATCCATATGTCCTACGTCAGGCAGCCAAAAGAATTGCTGTCTACCAGCACCGACCACTGGACTCACTGGACCACTCTTTTGTGGACCCTGGGCTTCTGATCGGACACCAATTCATCAGGAATGCGAATTTCTGATCCTCAAAACGTGGCCATGGGGCCGCCGTGGGGTCGACAACATGGGCTTAGCTCGGTCTCCCCAACCAGTGTCGACCCAGAAAAGCTCGCTCCACCAGCAAGCATGGCCCCGAATGGATCAGACCTGGCGCAGCAGGTGAGATGCAAACAACACATGAGGACGAGGGGAATTTGATCGGCTGCATCTCAGGCCCGCTTTCATGCTGAATAATCCTTTTGTAGAGCCTATTGTTCATTGCACAGCACCGGCTTCCCCATTATTGTTAATGTATTGTTTCTAAAGCAAGTAGAACTGTTTGGTGCCACTGGCAAGCTTTTTATGCAAAATCTTGGCCCCAGGGATGAAGGATGCAAAAGCAAATGACGACGACACCGGTGAAAACCCCGACACCAGGCCTAACTGCAATTCCTCTGCTCTTTGGAGGACCTGAAGAGTGTCGGGGGGTTCGGGGCTGTAGATTTGGACTCATCTGGGTTGCTGCTAGTTGGACTCCTCTGGTTCTGCTTATTATATATGCATGCTGCATGCTTGTTTTCTGATGTTTTCTGCTTCCTCGTTGTTGTTTGGTTCCCATATGGCCATCTCCATTTTTTTGCAAACCGGAGCTGCATGGCTGTGTTGGGTGCCAGGCTACCATCCCCTTCATTTCCAAGTGAAGAATAGAGACATTTTTGGAAGGTTGATGATCTGGAATATGAATCTTCGAGTGATTTATACAGTATACAGTATAATATAATATAAACATTCAAAATTTATACATGGTTGCCCTCTGCACGGTGGCAAACTCACCCCAGATTGTGGATCTGGAGCCAAACCATGAAAAACATGGTGACGTTGGGAACCCACATATGCCATGAGTAATGATATGTGGTTGGAAACCATCTCGTTGTGGAGGTTCGAACACGACACACCATGCATGAACTTACCACACAGAAGCTGCTTTGCTAAGTGATACTAAGCCACACAGGTCCTTCTGCCTTGTAACCATTATGCTCCCAGTTGTTCCACCTGTACTCAAACAACTCACATTGAAATCCCTGCAAACATCCTCCGCACCCCCCAAAAAAACAAACAACGTCAATGACACCATGTGACCCCTGAATTCGTGCCAACCTCCTCACCGGAGTCACGAACCTTCACCGGACGTTGGAGGTGGACGAGCCTACGAGCCTCAGGAGACTCGGAGCCCGGTTGCAGCCACAAACGCTGGATCTTCAGCTCCTGGTGGTTGGACTGGTCTCCGCCAGTCCAGACCTTCAAAGGACCCAAGGACTGGAGACGGGACAGGACGCTTCTGCCCGAAACTCGGGAGCCCTCTAGATTTGGGTCTATCCTATTACCTGGGCCCAGTGGATGATGATGGTTAGTAAAGGCCTTGTTCAAATATGATGATAATTGTTTACTGACTGTTACAGGTAATAGGACAAACCCTACCTCGAGGATCCATATATATATTAGATATTCAAGGGTGACAACATCAGGAGAGAGCAACTGCGCTACAATTGTGGAGAGCCTGGTTTGGGATCAGTGGGGGCGGCTCTATACTGGCTCTAAGGGATTTGCAGAGAGGAACAAAACCGGTTCAACTGTTGAATACCCACCTATCTCTTCAGTCATGGGTGCCATCTTCTGAAATCCGTACGTTACATCTACCAGGGTCTCCCCTGTGTCTTCAGTGATGAGATCAAAAGGTCTGGAGACCTCACTCCACCTGGTCTGGACGTTTTTCAGACCCCGACACAGGTGAGTGATCCCCCGCTGGTCTTGCTATGCCAAGCCCACAAAACGGAAAACAGCACCTTCTTGAACCCCAAACTCTAGGTGTTTAAGGGCTGTGCTCTTGATTATATCCTGATCAATATCCTGATCAAGTGCAAACTAGCACATCATAAAAATGTCCCACAACCGATGGACACGGACAAAGATCGCTGGCAAACGTAGGGATGAAGACATGGATCGACATAGTGAACTTTGCAAAAGCACATTGTCACATTGACATAATCAATCTCATCGATACTTCCATGGCCCAGGCCACAGGGGCGCAGTCCTTCGCAAGGTCCAAGAGTTGCAAAGTGACCTGGACTTGGGAACTGAATCAGTTACATGGGTGGCTGTTCAGGTATGTGGGGTCTTTTCTGGGGAGGATAGGCATCTGTGACTATCGAACAAACACCTTCTTCCTTCAAGAAAGTATCGGCGAGCCACGCACGTATCGGGGCGGCTGGAATTGGCAAGGTGTTGCTTGCCACTTCTCATTCTCCCTCTTAAATGCCACACTGTGATCAATTTCGAGGACCATGGGGCAGTTCACCATTGAACACATATCACCCCGCTTTCCTGTCCTTAGATCTTCTGCTACTGTAAGGGTTTGTAGGGGCTTTTTGGGTCAAGTTGACCAAAGGAAGTTTTTTCGTCCACCTTATCCCTTCATCAACACCTGATCCCCAAAGCGAATATCCTGCCATCCTGCCCTCCTGCCTTGGGCGGTGTGATCACGGACACCCCGTAGTGCTCCGCGTCTCTCTCCCCAGGTCCTTGAGGGAGGAGATGCACGGAAGACCTGAAGCTGATCATGCAACATATGGCGACCAACATATATCTTTGCTGTCAAAAACAGTACCCTAGAAAAAAAACTATTTATGTATAGGTTGACATGTTATAAAGTTAACCAGGATTCCTGTGTTTTTCACTCACATCCACGGGCGTCACAGGGATGTCCAAGCACTTGCCACCTGTCTTTCGGTGTCCAGGTTTTGACTCTCTGGGCGATGCGTTCTGGATGAGAACAGGGCGGTGTGAAGCGAGTTCAGCGATGTGAAGAAGAACCCACACCATGCGGCATGCCATGTGCATTGTGTATACGTGACAATCTCATGAGATGGTATATAGAGGTACATTGTACATTCCATGCAGACGTATTTTTCCTCAGACTCTGCTTGTGTTTGGGATGGCTTTATGGATGCTTCACACTCCAGAGGCCAGGGGGGTTGTCAGCTCAGTGGCATAGCATTCTCACTCTTGAACGTCTCGTGGCCGAGCTGTGGCCGGTGTGAAGGAACACATTGTAAAACACGTCATGCAACTTCCATCCCTGCGGAACCCTTCAGAAGTAATTAAGTAAGATCATGTTTGAATATATACCCCCCCCCAGCTATCCACAACAGGTGTGACTTTTTGTTCAGTTCTGTTCCCCCCTGTGAGCGTCACAGCCCGTCACGTGACCCAAGAGGTTCACGTCGTGACCGCGCGGTTCTGCTCCGTTCCGCTCCACCCAGTTCTGCTCCGTTCCGGCAGACCCGGCAGGTAAGAACTTATCTCATGTTCTCCAGGACGGTGAGTTCTTCTCAAGTCATAAAAGGGGAAGTACAATGAGGTATTCAATGCCGCTCTAACCATGACGTCATCCCAAACCAAGCATCACAAACACGATGTTCCCAACCATTTCCCCAGCTTTTTGTCTCTTGTCATCACCCACAAACCGACCTAACCGACCCCGCCTTCGATGACCGTCTGTGTGAGGCTCACAGGCACGGCAGAGAGGCCGTGCTGAAGGTAGCAGCGTAGGACCTGAAGGTCGCCGAAGCGACGAACTCCTCCACCGCTCCACCGCTCCACGGAGCACAAGAGAAGGTGGCGGGAGAGAGTCCCCGCGGAACGGGCGGAGCGCGGAGGCGCCTTGTTCCCGAACTTCTGCCGCTCCGCGGAGGCGCCCACCACTGCGAAGCCATGGGGTGCTTGGAGGAAGCCGCTCACGCTCAGCTTCGAGGCGGTGGCCTTGGACGAGAGGGGGCGGGAGGGGCCAGGGACTGTAAAGCATGAAGTGATGGCACCCTGGGAAATAGAGCATGACCCTGCAAAAACTGGTACTTGCACCCATGTTCCAAGGTACTTGGAGAGCACAGTTGATCGAATCATGGCACGATTCCTCCCAAGTTGCCGCACCGTTCTGACAGAGAACCGGTTTGAAAGTGAAGTTTGGACTTCCCCATGTCTTTAACACAGCCGAGGATATCTTTCCCCCTCCCCCCCCAAAAAAAAACGACCGACGCACTCGCGCACCTGTGCACGCAGCGACTTAGCGCAATTGGTCGAGTTCGGCAGCAGGTGCTGCTGGAGTCGCTGCAAACGCTGCATTTGATGCAGAAAAGTCTGACAGTGTAGGTCACCAGGGGTCTTCTGACATATGAAAGAAGGCTTAGAGGAACTTCAATGTGATCGAACAAGAGCAACAATTGGTGGTCTCAGGACCAAGAATCAGTTTGTTAAACTTGGTTGATCCCTTGCAGGGGGGATATGCCGAGGTGGCGATACATCTTATGGATTTGCAGTGTGTGTGTGTGTGTGCTCATGTGCTCGTTGAGAGGCCGTGACGCCGTCCATCGCAGTCACTGACCACTCGGGCCAGTGATGCGTCGACCCAAGCGTCGCTGGTGTGTTTGGCGGCGAGGAAACGGAGATGAGCGATCGACTTGCTCCGAGACTCAGCAGATTCCCAAGTGGAATCCCACACACAACCCACGAGCACCGTTTTTGAACGGGCACATATGCTGCCAGGCCAGGCGAATGGTGGTTAGTGTGGTTGATTTCAGGGGGGTCGAGAGGATGGCATAGAGATAGTGTCTCGGAAGGGACTGGTTCATGCAATGGACCACGGTTTGGGAGAATTGGGTCACAAAAAGAACACATGACCCAACCGCGGGCCCTGTGGGGGTCTGTCGTCAGCTCCACCAAATTGGCCCCCCCGAGGTCACTGATCACCCTCTTGTCCAGAGGTCCAAGGTGCCGGAAACCCAGCTGGACACTGGCAACAAACAAGTCATATACTCCAAGTGGGCAGTAAGACTCACCTCTTCGATTGACCAAACAAAAAACATTCGATATCATTTATAGTGGAAGGGAGATCATGTTACGTTTGTTTTGTTCGACTGTATGTTCCCTTTTCTCCGGCAAAAGCCCCCCAAGTGTTGTCTGTGTGGAGAAACATGATCAACACACATCAACCAAAACCGGTCCAGCTGAGTTGGGGGGGTTTCGTCTTTGAAGCCAATTAAAGTCGGCAAAACATTGCAACAAACACCTCTGTTCCATCTCCATACCCCAAAAAGTACACCTGCCAAACTTCAAGCTGTTAGTAGGGTCATGGCCATGTCCGCGTCCGTCTTCGTTCGGGGCGCCGGAAGATGGCGCCTCCCAGCACCAGCGCGCCGGCTCCTGATGAAGACTGGTCCTCGGTCCTCATTTAATTCCAATTACTCAAGAGATACAGCCTACTCTAGATGCGTATCTACGGGGGGTACGGGCACTACCCCTTTTTTTGAGATCATATGCTAAGGTTGAGGGTATCGGTATCTCAAGATCCAAGCCTTCAACATTTGAGAACATTCCTGCTGTAAAGGACCCATACAGGGCCCATACATGGCTGTACAAGCTGTACAAGACTGTTGTCGCAGAACAAACTGGGTTATCCGGGATCCCCCCCAAACATGTTCCACCACTTTTAACTTCTATATAAACCCAGTTTGTGTGCTTCTACAGCCGAGATGCACGGTCTTGTGCCAGTTGCAGGTACTACTGCTAACATCTCTACACTGTGAAAGAAACGGCTATCATATGCCTATGCTATCATCATCTCATGTAGCATAAAATACAGTAGCGGAATAGACGAACCTTCCAAGAAGTGGACAGTCATTTCATGAACCAAAGACCTGCCAAAAAAAATCATACAGCAATGGCTTCTCAGTAGAAGAAGTGCTACAACATTTCAGCTCCAGGATCACCGGGTCGAACTCTACAAAGGGACGGAGGGGGGGTCACTTCATACATGGTCTTGAACATCTCATGCAGGGTAAGAACATCGGTCTGAGCGGTATCGACGTGATGCCTGGAGCCTAGAAGAAGAGCCTCCAGGGTGTCCGGTATCAACCCACCCTCCGGTACCTCACACAGATCCGCGAAGACGGGGAGTTCCGGGGTCCTCCAGGCGATCTCCATTGGGCCTCGGCGCCGGTGGGGCTGGGTGGGGCAGTCATGAGACTTGGGCTGAAGAGACGGGAGGCAGCAGGTTTAGTGGTGGAATCAACGCGGAACAAACGACGCACTGTGGTGTGACATGGCTGATTCTTCCTGCCAGCGCCCATTAAAACCACAAAACACATCGCAGGCCTACAGCAGAAGACCTCGTTTGAATAACAAACCTCGTTCCGAACCTGTCATTTGACTCCTGACCTGGGCACGACCTTTGTGACTTCCGTTGGTCCCCATCTTCCAAACAAGGGGGTGAGCCACCGTGTTCAGGGTACATTGGTTTCAGCGTATAGATGGGGCTCCATGCTCCATATAAACAACCAAACTTGGGGGATTTGCAATCATCTACTCTCAACCACTATATCAGGCTTTGACCTACCGCCTCCAGCTCACTCTCTTTCTGGGCTGACCGATGCCTCTTGACGCCTCTGTCTGAGAACCCCAGCGGCGTCGCCATCACCCCACTCGGGCGGCCCTGAAACACGAGATGAGAGAAGATCATGTCGAATCACCCAACTCTATACTGGATTATAGCACCATGGCCCATATATAGATCATGGAAAGAGTGAGTGGAATTAGCACCACCAAAGAAGTGGAATGTGGCTAGTATTTTCTTATTTCTGACAATCGCTGGAGGACGCAGTACCGTACCCGGCCGTACCCCCTAAGAACCCTATATATATATATATATATAGTAGCAATGAGGATTTTCTCCCCTAACTGAATCTGGTTTTCTGGATTTTGCGCCATTGGGGACGTGCAATTGCTGGATGTCATTCACCATGGCTTGGGCAGCCGCTGCATCGGATGATGATGTTCCCTCTGTTCGCTGGTTCACATGTGCCAGAGAAAACAGAAGCCAAGAGACGCGACACAGTTGCTACAGGTTCCAAGGACTAAGAAGTATGCCAATTATATAGTAATATATATATATACATAATAATTCATCTAAACGGTTCTGCTGTCCCTACCTGCGAACCTGCAGTTCCTACCAATTCACGAGACTTGAGATCCTTTCTTTCCCGTACCGCCAGCCCCGATGCAGGAACGTTCGTCGTTCGTCCGAAGCATGGTTCGTCGTCCACGACCCAGGACCCAGTGTTTTTGCAAGCCGCTTTTGGATCTGACCACATCTTCTTACCACCCAGAACCTTTCCAAACACCCTTGTTAAGTAGGTTTCTGGCACATGAACGATGTTCTGGCGCCGTTCATTTCGATTCACCGCCAGGTGTCCGGACTGGCGGCGTCTGGCTGCGCCGCTCGCGGGTCTGGCTGCGTTCATCAGCTCGCTGTCGAGGGCTTCTGGCGGTGTCAAGTGCAGTGTCTTGGGCACCGCAAGGAACTGATGCATCAAAGACTGACTGGTGCGACTCGTACGGAATGAGTGAATGAGCCCCCAATAGAGATTCCTTTGGATCCAGCCACCCTCATTCCCTACAAGTCGCAACAGTCAGAAGAAAGGGTGATGAGCCCTGAGTGATGATCCTGCAATCCATTGGAATCCACGTTCCACACAGCAACACTGGCCAAATCGACTATCCACCATAGAGCCATTCTCTCCGTGCTTTCCTCACATCCTATAGAACCACATACCTTTTA